ATAAAATAAGGCTAAGCACGCTAAAATAATAAATATTTATAATTAATATATATATATTATTAATCTCTTTTTCTAACTCTAAGTCTAGTAAATATAAAGAATAATTTAGACTTTAAAGAAGTAGCTATTACTATTATTCTTACTACTTCTCTATATTGCTCTTTTTATTTTAATTTATAAAAATAAAGAGCGTTTACTTTTTCTAATTATATCTATATAAAAAAGCTTCTTATTAGCTATTCTACTATTATATAATAAATCTTTTATATATTATTATATACTCTTAATAAGCTATAAAGCTAATTATTTAATTATATTTAACTAATTTCATCTAGAAGTATTAATATAGCGAAGAAACTTATTATATATATATAATCTAAAGATTATAATCTTAGTAATAATAGAATTAATAATTAATTTTAATACTCTAAAAATATTATATCTCTATATTTTTATAAAGTACTTAACGTCTTTCTTCTTCTTTATAAATATATAATATAATTATCTAAAGAATCTTATTTTACTTCGCTTAAAATCCTCTTAAATTTTAAATTTATACTCTATTTCGATAATTATTTAAGAGTACTTAATAATATATATATTAGTATATATATTTTAATAGAAGAATATATATTATAGCGAAATAGAAAGAGAGAGCTTAATTAGAATATTCTAGCTATATATAATTTTAATATATTATTTTATTATATACTTTTAGAATAAAAAGAATTTATCTATAATATTAAGATTTTATAGAATACTATCTTTAATTAAGAATTTATAATCTCTAAAAATAAATATTATCTTATCGATATTAGATATTTTAATTATAACTTTCTAATAATATTATATATAAGAATATAATATTATTTAAAAGAATAGAAGTAGATTAAGATAAAGTCTAAGAATATAAAAGAACTTTTTAATCTACGATATTCTCAGCTATAAAATATTATAGAAAGAATCTTCGATATACTTAAAAGACGATTTTTATCTATAAACTTTCTAGTAGAATTCGATATTCTAATTTAGATATAAATATAATTTAAATTAATAGCTCTTTATAAATTTATTATTCTATATTATTTTATAAATAACGAGAATATATATATTATTAAAGTATTAGATAGTAATAGCGTAAATAATATTAAGTCTCTATAGAGTAGCTTTAGAATTAACACGAAGATAAATTATTTAAAAGATTAACTTACGATAAATATATAGAGAAATTATTAAGTATATCTTACTTTATAACTAAGATACTTTATTAAATAGCTATATTTTTTATTTATAGCGTATAAAGTTACTTCGCTATTTCAAATATATTCTTCTATCTACTTTTTATATTCCTTTTCTAAAGTCTATTTCATTTTTCACTTATTAATTTTCCCTTATAACTAATTATTTCTAGTACTTTTAGAAAGAATAGTATATATAAATACTATTTTCTTATTTAAAAACACGATTACGGCTTAATAAAGAAAGCTAGAATTCTTTAAATTCATAATTATTTATAGTAAAACTAAAGCTTTCTCAATTATTATCTAAGATATCTCTTTAATATATTATTTTTCTTCTCTTATACGCTACGTGTAATTTCTTTCTCTCTATATAATAGAATTTTTTATTCTAACTTCGACTTTACTAATAGCGTTATCTATATATTCTTTCTTAATCTTTTTAATTCTTTTTATAAAAATTATTATCTCAATTACGAAGCTGATATATTATTTTTTTCGCTGCGATTTAAGATATTTATTATTTATTATTATTTAAATACTTTATATTTTTATATAAGATATTAACTAAGACGAAGAGAGAAAATAAGATATTTAAAAGATTATCTGCAAATCTGAAAAGTTCCTGCAAAATTTGAAATTGCTGATCGCGCGTTTGTCGCGGAAATTACAAAATCCGTCGAATTAGTAAATCTAATTAGAATCCGCTCAAATTCTATCGATTTAATAAATCTGATTAGAATTCGTCTAAATTCCGTCGGTTTAGTAACTATCTTAATCTTTTTTATTAGTTCTATTAATTTAATAGCAATATATATATAAAAAAGAAAAGTTCTAATAATTAACGTTATAACGATAAGGTTCTACGATAACGAGTATCAACGCTAACTTAAATTTGGCTATAGAATTAGACGATTTAATAAAATTAGTCGCGTAAATAATACTCTAATATAGCGTATAATAATACGTATATTAATAATAATATATATTAATATTATATATATATAGAATAGTACTTAGAGTATATTAGAGTACATTATATAAAATTTTTAAAGTTGTTGAAAATTTTTTAAAGTTACTAAATTAGTAGAACTGGCGAAAAGAATTAGAATAGTTATTAAATTAACGAAAAGGGTTAGATATAGATAAAGTCTGCTAAATAAACTAAATCGTACTTATAGTACGAACCTGACGGAAATCGTACGGAAAGAAACTTTTCAGATTTATAGATGATTAAGATTTATTATAATTTCTAGACTATATATAGACTAGACGTAATTTTCTATAGCTATTCTCTTTAGAAATAACTTATTAAACTCGATAATATAGAGAAAAGACTTAATTCGAAATTCGCTTACTAATTTATTTTTCTAGAAAAAGTTATTTAATTATATAATATTTTTATATCTTAACGTTATATCTTTATTTATATTTATTATTAATCTTTATTTATTAAGAGTATTTATATATTATTATCTTATTTTTAATTACTTAATTTATAGCGAAGAACTCGCTATAGAGTCTATCTAGGCTTATAAGCTTATATCTTCTCTTAATATTAAGACTTATTAATATAATACTCTATTAGAGTTATAGTTTAAATAGTAACTAAAATACTTATTTAAACTTTAAATTTAAAGCTTATATCTACTCTCTTTCTAAGACGATATTATTATATTATTTTAGAGTATAATATTATTTTTATAAGATAAATCTAAAATATATTATATAATAAAATATTAATAAAGATATTAGTAGAAATATTAATAGAGATATTAATAAAGATATTAATAATAATAATAAGAGTAATAAAAGTATTAATAATAGTTAAAGCCTATATAGTAATAGTAATAGACGTCTCCATTATAATAACGTAAAATGATAGAAATTCAATAATCACTGATGAAGAAGATAATTTTCTCAATTTTTTACGACGTTTCTGACTTAGCCTCAAAAATAGAATTACCGAACGGAATCGTATAGATATTTTTACATATTTTAAATATAAATTAGTGTCATTTTTAAGCCATATTTTCATTTGCCAAGAGGTGGCGTTATTTAGTGAAAATAAGTAGGGGTTTATTTTCAAAATATGTGGTTACCGAACTGGCCCTAAGCCCTATCAGCCCTATTTTCAGCCCTTCTTCAGCCCTATCAATGTTGGCCTAATAACTCTTTTCACTCAAAAAACCGAATTTTTAAAAATTTATTATAATCTACTCCACTCTCAGTTGAACCAGTTGGTTTCAAGGTCAGAACTACACCAACTACCAACCGGTACACCTCAAACTACACCATCAACTACGAGAAACTAACGGTTCCACTGGTAGTGGACCAGTTAGTTGGTCCACCATTGCCAGCCCTGGAGAAGACAACAGTGCTGCTGCCAGTACCGCTGCCATCCTCCCGTATAAACCAGAGAAATGGCTATACTAGATCAAATTTCCAGCGCGCCTTGTCAAATCTGACCGAAACAGAGAGAACCTAGAAAGGGCTGGAAAGCTGATTGGCTGATCGATCCTTCAAGGATAAACCGGACAGTATTGCTGAGCTGCTGCAGATCGGGAGCTGTGGAGCAGGGTATCAGAGACTTATGCAGAACATAGCTGCAGAGCAACATGACAAACAAGCCTGGAAAAACGCGAACAAGGGCGGCCACGTCCCCCTCTACGACGCTGAAGGTGGTGTTATCTCGTATTCTGGCGAGGCCATCACCCTCTCCTGCCATGTCCGGCAAGAGTCGCGTTTCCTCTACTTCGGCTTCGGCTTCGGCCTCGGCTTCAAGACCGTCAAACCTCTCGCCCTCGCCCTCGACCTCTAGGCCATCGCGTCGACGCAAATTATCAACCTTATTGGGTACGGCCGAGACTAGGATAGACTATGGTGATTGTGGGACCCGATCGTAATTCCCCCACGTTGTACGCCGACCGCTTTTGGATTGCAACTTGCTCGAGGACGCAAATTTCCTATTGTGCTACTACGGGACTGATTATTTGCCAAGCAAGGGAGAGACCAATGTGCTAAGTAAACAGAGTCAAAATACCCTCCTACTTGCTTAATCGTTGGCATCGCCCATTCTTTCGTCCCTTTCTTCCTCTGCTGAATCTGAATATTGCAATGATGAAAACAAAAGGAGGGAGATCTAGGGTTACTAGAAAATGCATGACGCTTTACGCAAGCGAATGCGAGCAAACTGTGTCAATTGCGCGAGTTACTCGTAATAGTGAGAAACTTCTGCAATTTGTCATACAGGACACGATTGGCAGTCGGTGAGTCGATGGTAACCACCAAGAGGTAGGTAGCCTTACTACAGCACCAGGGAGTGTCATTGGGCAAAATGTAACCGGGTTTCGGCCGTACAGCCAGCAACCCGTCCAAGGAATTTTTCTGGAAGATATCCAGGCCAGGATCATTGAGATGCCTAGACGATGTGACTGGCTAAGCAATCATGCCGGTAATGGTGATGAAACAGTAATGTGCTGATGTAAAGCTGTCGGACTTGTAGCCATTCAGTGTACGAGAACTCCCGAAGTCGAAAACAGGTTAGCTTGCCCAATGACTCCGTGCAGCCCGTGGTGGCAGCTTTGAAGAAGGGCAGGCACACATTCATAGCTTCCTTTGTATTTATTTACGATAAATCTTCATGTGGTGCAATTCAAATGTATCATCATCTGATTTCATTCCTAAACGAATTGAGCTAGCACAACTGAGCGAGTAAAGTTGAACTAGCACAATTGAGTAGCACATTCGGGCTGGCTTAGGATGTCCGGGAGCCCATCGGCCTGGGGAGGGCGATATAACTTAGGTGGAGACAAAGACGAGTCTCCAAGCCATACCAGTAAGTCGGGCTATCTGGTTGAGGACTTGAGTAGAAACATTTGCTCATATGTAGTACAGATGATTCATGGATAGAGCGACAAGACAATGCACTTGACGGGGAGCCCTACTGGGTTGAGTCAGAACATCCATCCACCCCGTTCATCCAAGCGTACAATGATTGGGTCGGCTTTGACCCCGGCCAAGAAAGCCTCGTTGGTACTCTCGAAGATATCGAAAACCTCGAAAATGTTCCCAGCTTTCCGCCCAATATAGATGCATCAACACTCGTCTCAGTCGATGCCACCAACCCAAGCCCTACAGGCTCCTCTCTTCACCGAACTTACCATACACCGGGAAAGACACTGCCCTGGGCCAATGGCAGCCAATGGGGGGTGCATGAGACTGGCTCTCCGCCAATGGCGCATGGCACGTACCATGCGCCTTTGTTGTCAAATCCTCGCCATGGTGTAGTAGAGCCAGATCCGCTTGAATTCTTCAACCCATATCGTGGACTGTGGGAATCAGATGGCTTTATGGAACCCAGCAGCAGATGGGTACCTCTGGCCTCACGGGGTTCCACGCCGCGCGGCTATCCACAGTTATCAGAAGTTGCATCGATCTCCACATCTCGTCAAGATTATCAGGATATCACTGCAGAGCAGACGGAGATGCTCAGGCCAGTTGATGCTCAGCTTCCAGAGCCGCCATTCCCTTCAATCGTAGACTTGCCAGAATTCAAAACCCCTCAGCAGGGTACCGATCCGTACAAGGGCTCAGCCAATTCCACGCAGAAGGTCTGGCTGGGGGGAATAACATCAGATGCTACGCCTCACTTTGAAGAGCATACTGCGGTGAACCACGAAATTTCCTATCAGCCACGCGACACCAGCAAGAATGCAACAAACGAAACCTCCATATCAATCAACGGGCTTGCTTCAAATCTAGTTCCTGTAGCTTGCACAGCCATAACAGAAGCAACCCGCCGATCAAAGGCTCCAAATGCGGACCTCACCCTTGTGATTGGAGGGGGGAAACACGCGGCCTCAAAAGTACGAAAGGCTTTCTCAAAGGGCCGCCGTCAGGAAGTTGCTGGAACTCGACAGGTCGGAGCCTGTTTTAGATGCAGGCTCGCGGAAGATACTGTTCGTTTCCTCGACTACGAATAGCTAGAAGCAAGTACTGAATTATCCCAGTGTCATCGAGCGAATGTTCAGGACGGCATTTGTGAACGATGCTTGAAGGATCGGCTGCCAGCGACTCGGATCTGCTTCAAACTAGATCTCTCAGAGTGTGGCTTTTTCAGAAGCGGTAAGCAGATCCATTTCATTGTTATCAATCCACCCAAAAGCATCGAAGTAGGGAATTCATTGTCCAATCTTAGAGTTTGGGCTCCATCCTGAGCCTCTTCGAAACGAGTCCAACTGGGTCACTTCGGCAACCATTACTCTCGAAATCAGAGAGACCCCGTTTCGACAGAGGGAATCCTTGAGACTAGCCTGTCGTCATTTTCGCCCAAAGGACAACGACGTCACAGTAGCATTCGTGAGAGGAAGTGTTCCGAGTGAAGTGGTGGAGGTGCCAACTTACGCTGCTGTCGATCCTTGCGCATTACAGATCGGATTAAAAAGGCTCGCAAGACAATACGTCCATATACTTCTGCATGGACTGGCAGCGACCGACTCTTCTGAGATAGTTCGACGAACATTCCAAGAGGCCTTTCGGTACGCAGTGAGTTCCCCCACAAAATGCTTGTTCTACCCTAACATCGCACGCTTCTCGAGGCTGATAAGCATTCATAAAAGACGCAGAATCCGCAAAGACTTGTCATCAAAGCCCTAGACTTATGGGCTGGCAGCAAGCTGTGCCAATTTGAGAGATCTTTCGATGGATCTGAGACCCTTGGGCTAGAAGCCATAAAAGACCCCGCATCGCCCATGTATAAAAAAGTACCGATCCCTCCCGTACTCGACCACCAATGCGATACTGTTATCATTCAGTGGATGAAGGGCCTTGGAAGTCAATTGATTACTCGGTTCGGGCAGAAAGTGTGTGCAAGGAAGCAAGAAGATTGGTTAGAAGTGTTCCTTACTGGTTTCATCTTAATCAACAACATCGAGTATGTGTATGGCATACAGAAAGAATTCGTGCACATGTACTCAACCACGACGGTGAGTTTGTCATGCATTGGATCATTCTGAGCTTGTCTCTCAACCTAATGCAACGCAGGACGAATTAAGCTCACGTACCCAAAGGGTCTCGGAAAGAATGATGGAACAATGGGAGTGGTCTGCGCAACGCCTGTTGTACGTTACCAAAACATTCCTCACCAATATCGGGCCTTTCTCCAATCAGTCTGCAGAGAGCGCCGCGGACGTTGCTGGTTTGGACGCCTCGCAGGTCGCTTATTTCCAATTTTTGACCGAATCAAAAGGTTTACCACCCAACCTTTTACCCCTCCTCCACAACGCGACCCATAGAATCGGTGCCCGCTCTACCGGGATATGTCTAACGTCTCGTACAGATGCCATTCTTACAGATCGTAGGTCTGCAGCCGAAGTGGGGGATTTCAATTACGAAATGGTATGGGGAGCAGAGCTTTTCGAGCCATTGTGATTCGTCCATCGCCAGCCTTCATCAAGGTGTGAAGAGAAAGGATGCTTTACAGATTCTCGTGCTGTCGTCATTGATTGTGTGTCTCAAATATTCGGAAAGCTGAGAGATAAGAAATAGACTTCAGACCCACGTTGTCACTGCTACTCCACGTCTGGTTTTTTGAGCACAGTAGGAAGCTCGTCCCTTCGATCTTTGACGCTCAAGCATTGTTCAGTGCACAATGGCTACAGTCGGCTATCCAACGCATGCGAATAGAGTGGCAACAGAGGCGCCCAGCGTACTTTCATACTACCCAACTACTGGTGATGCTCTTCGATTCTGGTCTCTGCGCGAAGACAAGAATGTCCATTCAGAGGTTCCCCAAGGCTTCCCTGCACATATTGACGCTCGAATGGCGTGGCAGGGATCGGACATGGAGATGCAATCGGATGCGTGGGTAGTACTCCTTTCAGAGGCCGACGTGTTCGCACTCGAGGGTGCTATGCGTGACTTTCGTAGTACGATTAAGAGACTTATTCTCCCCGCCGCTGAACAAGATGCTGATTCATCAAAGATCAAGCTTTGCATTTATCCCAGATTGACCAGATCAGCTTTCGCTTGCCAGACCAGCTTGCCAAGCGGCTGGATGACATCTCGGAGGAGTGTTACAACGGGCGCGGCTTTTGTGTGATTCGGGGCTTAGAGCCAGCGAAATACACCGACGAAGAAAACGTCATTCTCTATGCCGGTATCTCTGCCTACATCGCCCCGGAACGCGGCTTTCTAGACCGAGCTCGGCAACACGTCCTATGTAGGTTTGCACTTGCATTATGAGGACAGATAGACTTATCATTTGCCAGGCCATGTCTTACCCGCTGCTTTCAGTGCAGAGCAAGACAGGAAAATTACACCTGGATTCACCAACGATGCAATGGTCAGTAGGCTCTACTCATTGACGCGTGAGACTATTATATAACAACGATTGAATAGAGCTTTCACACAGACGACGGCGATATTCTCGCGCTATACGCAATGAATACCGATCAAAGTGGTGGAAGGACACAGATTGCCAGTGGGTGGAAGGTGTACAATGAGCTTGCCTCGTCGCGTGCGGATGTCCTTCATACTCTGACGCAAGATTGGGTTCTTGATACGTGAGATACTTCTGACTGACTGTGCCATTACGTGTACGCGGATGCATCATTACTGACTCTTCGCAATAGTTATCAAGACTACAGCCAATGGCCCCCAATCAAGACACCGTTGCTCTTCACTGATGGGAAAAAAGTCATGTTCAACTTCTCGAGGTACCCGCTCTGTGGATTCAGAGGAAACAAGCGGAATCAGAGCCTTCCTGCACCCACCGAATCGCAGCTGGAGGCTTTGGACGCCGTCCATTTCTTCGCGGAGAAAAACTCAATGTCGTTGCCAACCAAGACGGGAGATATTTTATACCTCAACAACATGAGCATGCTCCATGCGCGAGAGCCTTTCGAAGACCAAGGTACACAAGGGATGGGGTCTCGACGACACATGCTGAAAATGCAACTTCGTGACCCCAAAAGGACGTGGAGACTTCCTAACAACCTTGTGGAGTCGTGGAAACTCCTTTTCGCACCAAACCGAGAGGATGGTGGCAAAGATGAGAGGTTCATGATTACGCCAGAAGAAGGCCACGAGCGTGGCTGGTCAAGCAATGGTTGAACCTCTACTACCTGAGCATTCAACATGTCGGGTGTGAACCATGTAAATTTTCTTCATTCACAAGCCAAGCTGAGATTTGATTGTAGCCTGCAACAATTTCCTTCCAACTATGTCGAATCGAACATTGAGGGCAAATTACAAATTCATACCCCAAACAAACTATGGGATTCTTACAAATTCATACCCCATCTTACATTTTCATACTCCTTACCAAAAAATGGGGTATGAAATTGTAAGTTATAATTCCTTGGGGTAAGGAAATGTAAGATATTATTAACTTGTAGATGTAGCTGTCTTTATGCCTTAGAAGTGTAGTTAGGGTATGTGTAAGAGCCCTATTATATAGTAGAGTAGAGTGTATTTAGGGAGGATTTTAGGCTACCTTACCCTAATCCGCCCCGAAACTCTACCCTAAAACCCCGCCCGTAGATAGCAATTCTAAGCCACTATGGCAACTTATAAAATCATACCTCTATTAATGACAACTTATAAAATCATATCTCATTGGGGTATGAAAATGTAAGATAGGGTATGGATTTGTAATTCGCCCGAACATTGACACAAATCAAGTCTGGAGCTCACGGTCATTGATTTAGGCCGAATGGTAAAGCACGCAGGCTTATAAGAAGGTTTCACAATCATGTAGAGTCTGACAATGATATAGAGCGTCAGCGTAATCTCATGCAAGATCTTTGCCAACGCTCCAAGAACGCGCTTCAGGTCTTGCGCGGCATCAAACAGCCCAAGAAGTGGACCGACAACTAGACAGGAGACCGCTGCTTCGCGACAGCCACAATTCAAGCTCTGAAGGGAGAGTCACATTCCAGGATGCAACGTGAATTGCTCCAGGAAGTGATGAGGCGAGGCCGAGCAGCCAAGTGAACCCGGCGTAATCCCAGTCCTGTGTAGCTTGGTGGTGTTTATCAGTTCAGAATTTTGCACCATATTAGGATTCTTTCCAAGTACCTAAGACGGATGAATAAATTCTATGGGGCTCGATTGGAATTCCTTCCTCTGTGCAGCTGACGGATATCGGAAGAGTACAGCTTTGGGGCTTCTTCCACCAAGCGGCATAAGCTGTAACAGCACAGAAAACGTACGCCGGTGTACTGACCTCGAGTAGAGTGACCGCTTCACACTCGCTAAATGGGGAAATCACATTGGTCGCAAACCACAAAGTCTGCCCGCAGGCGATAAGCTTTGTGAAGGTATCCGATTTGGCTGCGTCTTCGATCTGGTCTTCTGACACCTTTCCGAGCTCGTCAACCGGTTCTGCATATGATTCTTTGGCCATAGAGCCTCCGGGGTCAAGGAAACCTTTCGACACGGACGAGACCTTACCAACGGCTGTATCTAGATCACGCTTTGCTACCGCCAGGTCCCTGTTCTGGGACGGATCCGAAGTTGTTTGTTTCACCATCATATTGTCTCTAATCGCCAGTAGAGGCCTGGTGCCATGTGAAGTGGGCGTTCCTCTGGCTAAAAGGATCTCTTTCAAATCAATTTGATGGCTTTTCCCTCCGGCGACTGCATGCAAAAATCCACCAATGTTGAAGAATGACCCTTGGGCAAAGAACATGTTCATCAAAGGCGCCGCTGAAAGAAGAAACCTTGCAACGAGCCGATGCTACGCGGGGGAAGGCGCGATGTGTGAGACTTGCGGGCTTGTAGTTGTACACGGGGGTTCCTGTTGAGGATTGGGGCAATACCTGTGCCGGAAGGCTGATGGTTGTGTGGAAAAAGGAAGAAGGCTGTGCTTTGGCCCGTGGAGCGGGTAATCATGGCCGTGTATCTCGAGTTTCTTTCGCAGAGTGCTCCCCAGTCGTCCATTCTCGAGACTCATAATGCGTAAGATGCTTGAAGATCGAATGCAACTCCTGAGAAGGTAGAACCAACTGGGAGTTTCTGAAACGCTGAACGCTGTCTGTCTACTGGCGCCTCGTTGAGATGTGTCTGCAATGTGGATTCGCTCTGTGTCACAGCTTTTTTGTTTCTTTAGCTCTATTCAAGAAGCTATCAACCTCAACGCGAGACAACATCGTAGTCGCCATCTGAACATGATCTGTACCTACGCCTCTTGACACACGTAATAACAACGCCCTTCGCTCTTATCTCATAAATTCATCCCCCCTACACGGGCCTGTGTACAGGACCGTGTGCGGAGGCACAATTCCTCCAGCGGTTGGCACGTGCATCAGAAACGTTTCCTTCGTAAAGATTATACCGTATCTACTCCTACTCAACGCCGCAGTGTCCGCGGCGAAAAGCAGCCCATTTTTGCCAGCGTGGACAAAGGCTTCTTGGGTGGAACCAGGAATGGTGATCTTTGCCGCCCCACTGACAAACGCGACAAACCTAGATCAAAGGAGGTCAGAGAGGCCAAAAACGTAACGCCGACGATAATTCAGAGAGGCAATAATGCAAATGCTGTGACAGGAGAAAAAGGGAAATTCTCGGGTTCAGGCCTGGACACCCAGGGCTAAGGCGTCAGAAGGTCGCTAGAGAGACAGGCTACTTACTGCGGATAAGGGGCAGTATGAGCGCCACCGTTCGTTTCTGCGGGAATGATGCTGTACGTTGCATTGGACAGATCTCCGAGCTGGGCAACCATGGAACCCCGGGTGCCGGATTGGGTAGAGGTGATGAGGGGAGTCGAGAGCTGCCAACATTGTATGACGGAATTTCTGAACGCAGCTGCCGTGACGGTGATGTTGAGGTGTTTGGCCGGCGAGGCCGCTTCGGTCAATAACAGCAAAAGGGCACAAGCGGTGACGATGAGGGAGACGAGGGAGGAGAAGGAACACATGGCGGAATACAGTGTCTGTGGTAGAGAGGAGTTGCCTGCGTATGAGTTCAAATAGTTTCTGGCTGTGGCTAGTAAACCAGACACGCACGTACACACATACACGGACTTTTAGTGAGTCTATCTAAGTCGCTCGTCAATGCCAATTACTCTCTTGAGAGCCGAAGCAGCTGTGATACCGGTATGAGAAAGTAACTCGTCTAATAAATTCACTAAGACCCCAAAAAAAACTTATAAAAAGGATCAAGAACAACAGTTCATGACCTGAAGATAGTAGCAATTTGATCTTGCAGGATTATCCCCACTTTGCGGTATTGAACACAATTTTTGTAAGTTCAGATGTCCGGGTGATTTTGGCGTCGACGGTGCTTTTCCCCATGACTCATCGAGTAGGATTCCGAAAGTAGGGTTTCTACAGGGCTACCAGTAGCGCTATTGTGATTCCTGCAGGATTGATGGGCATCAGCCCGGCTTTATACATACCCAAGGTCAGCTTACTGCTACCTGTTCTGACAAGCTCGATAAGGCTCTCACACTAGCGAGCTCATAGAACATGCAACCCATTCCGAGTTGCTGCAGAACTTGCGTTTGTCTAGCACTTCACGCGTGAATCTTCGAGGCTCCATGCGGAGGTGGGCACCAAAAAGTCGGAAGGTGCTTCCTACGGGGTCTTTCTGTCTTGCTAGCCATATGTAGTATAGCTTGCTTGGCTGGATCCTTAAGATCCTTTGGATCCTTCCTCCATAGAATCTACATCCTTCTTCTACCCACACGAGCTGATCCTTGCTACCTTGTTCTTTCAAAAGTCCTGCACATGCCCAGACTCCCGCGCTAAGACTCGGATAATGCCCGGGTTGCCTGGACGATGCGCTTAGAGCTGCTTCGGAACCGATCTAAGCTTATTCCGGGCCCATTTGCCCTTAGCAGCCTAATAGAGGTTCCTGAAGGTTAATCTATGCGCTCCCACGCTTGCTACAGGGTCGTCTTCCGAAAGTAGGGTTAGGGCTATGGTTAGCGCTGTGCATGCCTTTTGGCGCCCATCTTCGTACATCTGCTTAGATATCGCACAATGTGGGCAAAGTCATTTCAACCACACTCTCAGCGTCGATATCATCTCGGCAAAAAATCTAATTGTAGAAGGATAATACTTATAGCGGCGTAAATTACGGTAGTGTGTTTGGCTGTCTGGTCCCGTCCGCCTTGGTCCACCTGGCAATAGGAACGGATCAGTCTGCTGGACTTGATCAGAGCCTCTCATTATTCATGATGAATCGCAACTTCGCGGAAAAAATTACGCTGAAGGCAGCGATTGATACAGAACCTAGTAGTGCCCATACTTATGCTGCTACTGTTCCTTTGGATCGTTGCTAGAGTGGGCGTGAAACATACGTTCGACGTGCGAACGAGAATGTAGCCGCTCATGGTGGGTTTCTGATGTCAATAGTTCTGTCTTCTACATAACAATACTTCACCTCTACTCTCCGGAGCTACAAGCAACTCCATATATTTGACCTGCACTTGATGTTCCTGCGTGCAGCGACGGCTGGTCAAGTTCAGGTAACTATTCAGCATGTGAAATTGCTCAACAAGATCTCCACAATCCACGAGGTTCTAAGTCAGGACTGCGAGAATCGAGTAGCTGGACACGCATCGTGAGCTTTACCACATTGATGGATAGAGCTGGCCTGATGCTTGTCGATAGGAACACGAACATGGATTCTGAACAAGGTCTTTCTCTTCCGACTAATTTCACGCTCACTCCTGCTGTTCCGGCGGCAGATCTCAGCAGACTTCTCGACGACACTGATCCGTAGTGGCTCAGCTGGAAGTACCCGTGGTCACCCAAAAGCTATCTCAAAGCAGCAACACACATACGATGGTTCTCACCCATCGATGGAGCCCAGCATCCCAGTATGACAGACCTATGGCTCACACCCGTTGCTTCAATTGATTCTTCACCACAAAGATGTTGGGCTCCATCATCGACCACTGGGCCGAGGTACTTGAAAATTATCGTCCTGATAGTCCGTTCACTACTCAGAGACTCGCCGATGCAACAGTTGCTTCCGACGACACTGTTGGAACAGACCCAAATGTGCCACCCTTCAAGTATTTCATCCTATCGATCGGGTTTGAGCTGAAGAAAGTGCTCCCTGCAGAGGACGTTCAATGGCTTGTCCTGAGAGCACGATCAAGAAGATACAAAAAGGACGTCTGGATGCAGAAATAGTGGTAATGGATGAAAAGTTAGAGCTGGTAACCATCAGCCATCAAGTCGATCGTGTTGTTCCCGGGCTTGGGTTTACGAGGAAGCTCAATATGTTGCGATAGCAAGGCATCTATCTATATGAGCGACTTGTGCGGTAACTGTATCAATTGATGTATGATTCCGAGTTCACGTCAATCGCAGCGAGGAGAGACATCATCATTGCGGCTGAAACGAAAGGGCTCTGCGGACTCAACACACGGGACGTAAAAACCAGAAACGAGGATCTGCAACGCCACGAGGAGGCTCTGCTTCCGTGTCTTTGATTCGCGCATCCATAATCATACTTTACCAACCGATACTTTTATCTGTGTGTCCCAGGATAAATCAAGATTGAGCACCTGAGCTCTGCTCTGATACCATGAAAACGCGTGACACGTGGGTCTTACCTCTTCGAGATGTCCGTCGGAGGCTCAGATGGGTGCATAGGGTTCGATGACTCTATCGCCGTCCAAATGAATTTGCCGAGAAGTACTTTGCTGAATATAGAATAATCCAACTGCTCGCTGGCACGATTGCCATTCCACACTGTGAAGCGACTAAACATCAAGTCCATCAATCCTAGGTTCAGAAATTCGAAATTCACGAACTTCCAGCACGAAAATTATCATCCTCGCTACTACAGACGCCTCGCCCATCACAATATACACCAAGGCGCTCTCCCTCGCAGCCACCGCCCTCCTCCTCTCCTCCGCCCTCGCTCCCTCTCCCTCCGCCCTCCCTCCTCTCCACCGCCCTCCTCCTCTCCTCCGCCCTCGCCACTCCAGTACGTCAAGTTAGACAATCAGCAGGCTCATCCCTCCACTTCTCACCCTCACCATCAAAATAACACATCAACAACAGACATCATCATGTCACGGTCTCGGCCCCTTCACCAGCGGCAGTTTGCGAGCTTTTCGCTCGGGCGCAGGACCCAGACCGGTGATTGTACCTGCGGTTTTGGCTCGATCAACGGGCCAGCTCCGATGGTAGTGTGTAGTGGAAATGTGAGCCCGCCGAATGCGCCAACAGGGGAAGGAAACGTTGTGGGTGATTGTCCATCCAAACGTTCCTGTTCGTAGAAATGAGGATTGGGGGTTTGGATGTAGCATAGCATCTTCGTTTCGATCGAGCCAATCAAGACGGCCTTCGAGCATGAGAAGACTCGCCCCATCAGTTCTCCTGAAAGAGTGTTCCAATCCGATCGCTCTAAGCTTCGCGGATTCGTCAAGTGCGCCGGGCTATTTAGAAGTCCAAGTTATATGCAACAGGGCAAATTTTGCCCTGGCTTTTGGTGCTCTCTAGCGCCGAGACCCGTTAACCAGCCGAATCGAACTATAGCATGTTCGCAAGAACTTTTGCAAGGTTCTAAACATCCTTCGCGAAGACTTCCGGATCTGTTGCCACGTTGCAACGAACGGTATCTGTATGCGTATAGTGACGTGAATCTTCCATGCACGCCCTTGATGAAGGGGAGCCTGTTCTTTCCTCATGCTCTGGTGACAATGCAGGTTCTTCGATAATTTGAATCCCTTGGACATGGTTTCATTCTCTTGTGCCGTGCACTCGACGCGTTGTGTTAGTCGTATTGCACGTCGTAAATTTTGAGTCTGTTCTTCTTTATCTGCAATTTGTGCGTTCCAAAAACAGCCTCCCAAACAAATGAGAGTACCACAATAACAATGAATTAACAGCGATCACGGAGACCACAGAAAACGACAAGCAGCATAATGACCACTGGGAAGTCCAGTTTAAGTCTACATACTTCACTCCTAGAAAAGCCACATTAAGCCATCCCGATAGGCATCCACCTCATCCACCCAAGCCTCCGACGAACCATGTTCTCAACCTGAACGACCAGCTCCACGCAGACTCATCTGCTGGAATGCCGTGCCCAAATCTATCCCCCCAGACATCGTCTCACGCGCCATCTTCCCCACCGTCTCATCAAACGTCTCATCCTCTCCGATGCAAATCTTATAGGAAACCCTCGAATATTCCTCCGCCTCTTTGCACAGATGCGGCGCAACATTTCCCCACGCAGTCCACAGGTGCGTCCAGGTTTCGATCACTTCATCCGTCGTGAGACCCCACTGTAGGACTTTGAACGAGGAGGAGTTGGGAGAATCAGGAGATTGGTGGGTGATGACGAAACTGAGAGAAGTCAGGACTTTGAATGCGGTTTGGATAACGTTTTGGGATTTGTTCTGGAGGGCGTAGATGCGGGTGAGGAGGAGGTACGGGTCCCCTAGTTCGAGACGTGGAATGTCCTTGGCAGGTGCGGAATAGGTCTTCTCGATCGCAGCGAGCAGTCTTTCCGCTTTTGGCAAATCACACCCACCAGGTGTTAGGAATGTTGCCCTGAGATCTTGCAACAGCGCGTTCCTCCTGACGCGTATCTTCTTGACCGTCTTCTTGTCCTGCTGACACAAGACACAAGAGCATTGAAAGCCCCAATTCTGCAGCTTGTGCTGCGCCTTTTCCCACGTGCGACCGACTTCGGGGGCGGCGTACCAGAAGAATATTTCACTATTTGCTGGAATGGCCCTCGCGGCACGCACGATGATCATGTCTCCGATGAAGCTGCGGCGAGCATTCATGTAGCAGCTGTGGTTGATGTGAGAAGCTTTGATGAAGATGCCAGTGGTATGGTAGGATGTTTCCCGCTCTTGCTGCTCGGGTGATTGGGACCTGAAATGATCTTGCAGAGTGGTTCGAGGGCAACCGAAGACATTGAGGGCGATGATTCGCTCGATTA